TCTTCCTTCTGTCCTTGCATCTATAGTTTCTTCTTTCAATTTGCTGCACCATCCGCTTTGGCTTTAGAAAAAGGATCACTGAGCTTGAAGGAATTTTGTCTAAAATAAAAGTAAGTGGTATCTGACTTGTGGATTCCTTTGTTTCCCAGCAGTGTCTGCCTAGGACACCTGCTAAGTGAGCTATGTTTGTATTTGATCTCACCACTGTCTGGAAGAGACTCTCTTTGCAAAGACCCAAGGAAGAGGGAAACCTTTGAGAAGTTTGAATCAGCAGCCTCTTTTTCTAATTTTATCACCTTATTTGAGGAAGACCTAGAGAAATTTGTCACATAGGCAGTTGGTGGAAGAGGTGGGAGGGAACTTAGGTCTTTGGTTTATTCCATGCAGGTGAAGATAAACCTCTTTGGACAGCCTTCCCTGTTTCTCCCACATGAAGTGGAAGACCCACGGGAAAAAGGCAGGATTTTGTCTTGTTCACAGCCACATTCACAGCACCCTAAATTCACATATCGGGTACTCAGGAATGATTGGATGACTGAATACTGTATTTTCCAGGTTCCTGTCTTTTTGGTATATTTTTACTCTCATTATGTTCTTCTAAATTGAGTTTTGTTGTGAGGACATACTGTGAGGAGCAAAGGACTGTGAAAATTAAAGTCTTTGCAAATGAGTATCTTTGTATGTTATTACTGCGTCAGGACAGAATTCAAGGAGCAGAATATGGGAGTGTTGATCTGAACCTGAACAAACTTGGAGAATCATACTATGGAGGAGAAGAAGGGACAAGAAAAGGAGAACACTAGGGTAGGAAGATGTCTTGGCGGAACAGGGGAGTCAAGACATTTTTTGTAGAGCAACCCCAATAAGAAAATACTTTCTCGTTGGGGATGGGGTAGGGTGAGAACATTCTCTCTACTCTATCTTTCCCTGTGGAAGAACTTCAGTTAGAGTTATACTCTTGGCCTCTCTCCATCCCTGGAAGGAAAAACAGCATGCTCTACACAGCCTCTTCTTTTCTGCCTGCCTATTCTGCTCTCTGTTGTGGTTTAAGGGGCCTGCCCTTGAGGAACAGGCTTGTGGTGGGCCTTGTCTTAAGTCAGAGGTAAAGCCATACAAGCCTGCTGTGGCCATTCATCAAAGGCATGTTCTACTATCCATGCTCTTACTGGTAACCAAATTGATGTTCTGATCTCCATCTGTCTGATTTCTATGTCTATTTCTCAGGTGGTTCCAAACTTGCAAACCAACTTAGAATTTTTTGTTTTTTTGAGATGGAATCTCACTCTGTCATCCAGGCTGGAGTGCAGTGGCGTAATCTCAGCTCACTGCAACCTCCGCCTCCTGGGTTCAAGTCATTCTCCTGCCTCAGCCTCCTGAGTAGCTGGGACTACAGGCGACTGCCACCACGCCTGGCTGATATTTGTATTTTTAGTAGAGATGGGTTTTCACCCTGTTGGCCAGGCTGGTCTCGAACTCCTGACCTCAGGTGATTCGCCTGCCTGGGCCTTACAAAGTGCTGGGATTACAGGAATGAGCCACCGTGCCTGGCAGGATTTCTTAAAATCCCTTAAAGCCTTTCAGTGTATGTTTTGGCTGCTCTCCTTGTTGTCTGAGAAGCTGGAATTTCTTGTTTTAAGACAGAATTATGGTAATTCTTATCATGTATTGAGAACAGATCAGGGACCATGCTAAACATTTTATGAATATTATGTTACTGAATCATTTCGGCAATCCTAAGAAGTAGATGCCATTATCATCCCATTTTATAGATAAAGGAGCAATTTTAGAAGGTTAAGAATTTTTCCACATTCAGCATGGCTAGTAAGCAGTGGAACCAGGGTTTGAGCCCACTGTTTTCTGATTCTTCTGTTCTTAGCTACCAGCCTATAATGTCTCCCACAGCTATTCAAGTAAAGAACTGTAAAAAGAGAAAAATGTTTTGGAAGAAGGAAAGAAAGCTCTGCAAAAGACAATGTGGGCTAAGATAGGGTATTCTCAGGCAAGAAAGAATGTCTTCTAGAACCCACTGGTCCAATTTGGTCCATTTGTATGAATGTACTCTTTGCACTTATTTCAAGGATGAGCTTTCTGTGAAAGAAAACTTTGGGCTCATGTTCACTCCAGGGAACGGTTTAGGTTTCAGGGTGGTTTCTTTCTTTTTTCCGTGTGTCCCCCTGACTCTCTTTTTTTCCTCTTTCTTTTTTTTGCCTCCATAATCTTTTGTCTGGTGTTGGCCCCCAATAAGCAACCGTGGCTAATTCCTGCTTGTTCTCTGTGCTTTTGGACACTTTGTAAAACCATACTGTGGCAAAGTTTCTCCATTTGAAAAATGTAGGAGGATTGTTAATACTGATTTCCTTATCTTAGCGTGAGTTAAGATTAATTATATACATTTTGCAGCATACTTTGAAAGTATGTGTTTAGGTGCTAAAATTTGTGTTTGTACAGATTTAAGTATTTTTGTAGCCCATACCCATGTAAATTTAAGGAGTATTTTTATTTTGCTAATGGCTTCTTTAAAATATTTTAAAATCACTTGCATAATTCTGACAAGTGGGATCTTCTGAATGAATCTCAATTCTAATTTCCCTTTCCCATGATTGTAAAATGTGGGACATTTGTAATAATCTTTGCTGAGTCAGTTTCCTTGCGGGAGGGAGTGGTTTCATCATTTCCAAACATCCTAACAAAACTCCAGCCCATTCACAGGTAGTAACTTGCAAACTAGGGTCGTTGCCCAGGGAGCTGGGAGGGATCACAGACACAGGCAGGAGGAGAAGGGTTATGGTGCTGGAAAATGCTACCTGGAGATTGCCAAAGATGGATCAGGTGGGAAAACTGCACAGCAGTTCACATACCTTGAACAAATCCAGCAGGCAGTAGGAAACAATAAAAAAGGAGACTCTTCTCCAGGGACAGGATAAAGGATGGGCAAAAGCAAAGCTGGGAGGATTGGTTAATAAAGATTCAAACTTCCTTCTGGATTCATGTTTTCCTGCTTTGTTCAATCAAGTGAGTATTAAGCCCCTGATGAGTGTGGAGAGGTAGAGAGGCTCAATGGAAAGCAATGAGTCACTCCTGGGAGCCCTGGGGAAGGTCATTTTTGAGAGAGTAGGAACCTGGGAGGTGCAATCTCATGATCCTGTAGAGAATTGCAACAAGTTTTGCCACTGCTCTGCATTTCCCCAACCCTTGGGTTTCTATAGTATTGCTCTGTATTCCAGCTAGTGTCACCAAATGATTAGCCTGGTTCTTTGTTAACCTTTATCCTAACCTTCAAGTCTGCTAAAGTGAAGGTTTGTTTAAGGCTAGAGGCAAAGACGTAAAATTTCTCTAGACTTCCCAAATACCATTTAACTTTTCTAAAATATTTGAATGTGACTGAGTAGTTGCACAGCAACTAAAAGCTTCCCATCACAACCCCCACCTCATCTCCCTTCCATTCTCCCTGTTTCCAGTAATTTAACTCCCTGGGTAACAACTTACTGAGATTTATTTTCACAAAGTCATAGCATTTAGCTGGTAATTCGTTCTAGCTTTTTGAGCATCTGCTAATATGTGGTGGGAGATCTTAAATTCAACAGACTCATTTTTAATGAATGTCAAATAGGAACTAATCTATCATGATTACATTATTTATTTTCTAGGAGGGACAGCAATTTGTCATGTAGAGTAAGTACATCCCTCTCTTTATCAAGAGAGGGAAATAGATGAGCAGGGTTTTTTTTTTTTTTTTTTTTTTTTTTTTTTTTTTTTTTTTTTAACATTTTCAATAAACCAAGAGATCTTGGGCTTTGGATCTTTTCTTTTCCCTCTTCTAATTTTTTTTTATCTCGATTTGCCTAAATTTAAGTGGCCTTTCAAAATTATTTTTTATCAAAATGTAAGTAGGAATTTAAAAATTAATGAGAAAACAAAATGATGTGATTCTGAATAAAAACAAGGAACTGCTGAATGTGGAGGGGTTAGCAGGGCTGTTTAATTGACCCCCGCAGGCAAGTGCTGTTGACAGAAATACAACATGAGACACATACAGAATTTTAAATTATATAGTAGCCGCGTTAAAGATGTAAATGAAATAGGTGAACTTGACTTGAATAATATGTTTTATTTAACTCAATATATCTAAAATATTATTTCAACATGTAATCAATGTAAAACTATTAATAAGGTATTTTACATTGTTTTTGTACTGTCTTCGAAATTTGATGTGTATCTTCCATGTACAGTGTAATCTCAATTTGGACCAGCTACATTTCAGATCTCAACATTCACAAGTTGCTCGTGATTCCCATATTGGTCCCCTAATTCTGGGAAATTATCAGTTCCCTTCCATGGTGGTATTTCACTGGATTTGCTTTGGAACTCAGAGCCTGGATCTCTTATGAAAAGCCAGACTTTGCTTATGTATTTTAAAAACAAACTGTTGGTTTCCTTCTTAACTTTAATCTTCACTTCCTCTTGGCTCAGCACACTTGGAATAATATTCTAGAAACCCATGCTGGGTGAAAAGGGTTAGGGGAAATTGGATTGTGTCAGGGAAAGGTTCAAAGCCAGGCTCCCTAAATGGATGCCTCTCTGTTTAGACTGGACATTTCTTTCTCATGTGGGAGGCCCTCCCGCTGGTCTACTGTAGAAAAAAATGTTAATAATGTAATAAAGTCTAAGCTTTAGTTCCTAGTCTGAGCACAGTAATTCACATTAGATAATTAATAGAAAAATAACACTTTCACACTTGATTCTTCAAAAGCAGTGTTCTCTTCTCACATAAAGTTGCACTTTACTGGTAGTGACGATAGCATGGAATGAAGGCTCCTCACCTGTGAGAGTTGGTGGAGTGACCTCGCATGAGTTAGACCACAGGGTCTTCACTGCACCCAGTTGTCCAGAATTCAGGAAAGTGGGGAATCCCTGACTCTCTAGCCCAATTCCCTTTTCTGAACTTTAACTCCTAGGCAGTGAGCCCTCAGTCTTTCTTCTTTTACCCCCACCCTCACCAGGTACAGGATGCTTCTTCCAAATTCTTCAGCACCGGTTGATCACCTAGAGTGTAATTTCCGCAGCTTGGCAGACAGCTGTGCTGGAGGTGAGTGAGTCCTTTGCTTAAAGTCCAAAGATCTAATTTCTATTTTTTTTTTTTTTTTTTTTTGAGACAGAGTTTCACTCTCGTCCAGACTGGAGTGCAATGGCACGATCTCGGCTCACTGCAACCTCTGCCTCCCAGGTTCAAGCGACTTTCCTGCCTCAGCCTCCTGAGTAGCTGGGATTATAGGCGCCTGCCACCACACCCAGCTAATTTTTTTTTTGTACTTTTAGTAGAGATGGGGTTTCACCATGTTGGCCAGGCTAGTCTCAAACTCCTGACCTCAGGCGATCTGCCCGCCTTGGCCTCCCAAAGTGCTGGGGGACAAAGTGAGCGGGGACAAAGTGAGCCACCCCAGCCCAGCCTAAGCTTTTGTTTCTATATTTGTAGAGTGGTAGGAATGATGCTTATCTCACAGGCCTGTTGGAAGGATTAAATGAGGTGATGCGTGTGAAAGCATTTTGGAATCTGTAAAACTAAACACACTTCAGTTGTTAATAGTGTTCTGGCAAGGTTCCAAGATCTATTCCTGCTGAATTTCCTGGCCATTCCAACCCTTTTTTAAGCTCGTGGAGGTGCTTAACCCCACCCTATCCTGAATCTGGGCTCTGCCAGATTTGTTCACTCCTTTTCCAAGTGTCTGGTCCCATAATCCTTGTTAAGTAGACCGTGGGTCACATGATCACACACTTGTCCATACTGAGGGCTGGGGCAGACACTTAACCCAAGCTGGGCCATGTAAATTTTTTCCTATCTGGGTATGGAAATTGGGACCAAAGGAGTTTATTAATCTCTTAAATTGTCCAATTTGGGCAACATAGTGAGACCGTGTCTCTACAAAAATAAAAATTTAGTCAGATATGGTGGTGCACGCCTGCAGTCTAGCTACTCAGGAGGCTGAGGTGAAAGGATTGCTTGAGCCCAGAAGGTTGAGGCTGCAGTGAGCCAGGATTGTGCCACTGTACTCCAGTCTGGACAACGGAGCAAGGCCCTGTCTCAAATAAAACAAAAACAAAAACAGAAACTTGAATTTGAATGGTTTAGAATTTCAGTTCTCAAAATGTGGTCCCCTGGGGACCCCTAGACTCTTTCATGGGGTCCAAGAAGTTAAAACCATTTTGATAACAATGCTAAGAGGATATTTGCCTTTTTTTTTTTTCTTTTTTCTTTTTTTTTTAAGATGGAGTTTCGCTCTGTTCACCAGGCTGGAGTGCAGTGGTGCCATCTTGGCTCACTGTAACCTCTGCCTTCTGGGTTCAAGCAATTCTCCTGCCTCAGCCTCCCGAGTAGCTGGGATTACAGGCGCACACCACCATGCCTGGCTAATTTTTTATTTTTAGTAGAGACAGGCTTACACCGTGTTGGCCAGGGTGGTCTCGAATGCCTGACCTTGTGATCCACCTGCGTTGGCCTCCCAAAGTGCTGGGATTACAGGCTTGAGTCATCACGCCTGGCCACCTTTTTTTTTTTTTAAAGTGTGCTTTTTCACATGTGGAATAACAGCAGTGATGGGGACTACTGCTGGCATCTTAGCATGAATCAAGGCAATAGTACTTACTGTAGTTGTTACATTCCTTACTACCATGCACTCACAGTAAGAAAAAATAAGGAAAAAATAAAAGCAAAAGCTAGTGTTATTGAATAATGTCCTTGATGAAGCAATAAAAATAATTAATTTCATTAAAAGTTGACTTTTGGGTACATGTCTTTTTCACATTCTGTGTGATGAGATGGAAAATATGCATACAGCGTATCTACTGCATGCTGAAGTAGGCAATGGTCTGGGAAAACCACTTAAGTGATTGCTTGAATTGTGAACTAAAACTAATGGCTTTTCTTCAAGGAGTACCATTACTACTTGACTGCATAAACTATGATTTCTCAAACCCAGGTATTTGGCAGATATTTTCTTGAAAATGAACCAAACTATCCTGTCACTTCAAGAAAAACAACTGACAACATTTTTTTTTTTTTGTGTGCCAATGTTAGAATTTGTGTTTCCAAATGAAAACTAGCATTTTGTAAATGTTGTGTCTGTCACTGTGAGCTTGCTAGCTTTTCAATACTTAAAGTCCTTTCTGATGGGATCAGTGGTGATATCAACAAATGAGATTTAAGAAATATATTTATAAAATGTGCCAACATTAGGAAGATGAGATGTGTAACTCAGTGAACCAATATTTTATGAATGACAAATGTGCAGGTGAAAGATCTAATCAAAGTGCAAGACAGACTAGTGGATTTCAATATTATGGTAAAAAAGACAATTTCTTTTATATGAATTCAGATTCCCCATTGCAATTAAACTTTAAGAAACTACCATGTGTTGAGTTTTGGTGTATTATCAAAAATTATCCGTAAATACTTTACTCTTTTTAAGCTACATGTCTCTGTGAGACTGAATTTTCTTTATATATGTCAACCAAAATAATATATCACAGCAGACTGAATGTAGAAGCAGATGTAGGGATTCAATTGTCATTTATTAAGCAAGCCACTAAAGGGACTTGCAAAAATGTCAACGAAATTTCATTGTTGTCACTATAATTTTTTGTTTGTTTTGGAAAAACAAATCAGATGTGGGCAGCTATGTTTGGCTCATGCATGTGCAAGTGAAGAGAGGATGCTAGTATTTTGAGAGAGAGAGAGAAGAGAGAGAAGTGCAGAGAGAAGCAGATATGAAAGAACATGTGGAGAGAGAGAACAAAAATAAGCATTGATTCCTAATATCTGTACCTGGTCCTTGTCTCTCTTGAGGCCTGGCTGTGTTGCCCAATTTAGAGTTCTAGGAGATTTCCATGTATTTTTCCAATAAATTCTCTTTCTATTTGAACTTATTTAAAAGGGATATATATATATATATATATATTTAATTTAATTTTTTTTTTTTTTTTTTTTTTTTTGAGACGGAGTCTTGTTCTGTCACCCATACTGGAGTGCAGTGGCGTGATCTCAGCTCACTGCAACCTCCGCCTCCTGGGTTCAAGTGATTCTCCTGCCTCAGCCTCCTGAGTAGCTGGGATTACAGGTACATGCCACCACATCCGGTAATTTTTGTATTTTTTGTAGAGACAGGGTTTCACCATGTTGACCAGGCTGGTCTCGAACTTCTAACCTCAAGTGATCCACCCACTTCAGCCTCTCAAAGTCCTGGGATTACAGGTATGAGCCACTGCAGCTGGCCTCTTTTCTTCCCTGTTTGGCTTGCTGTTCCTGAAGGGTAGAGACTTTTGATTACTTTAGACCTCACAATGTGTAGTCCCTACTCAGTCTGCAATAGCTGAAGAATGAGTGAGTGGCTCTGCCTGAGGGAGCTGAGGAAGGCATCCTGAAGGATGATCAGGTATTTCTCAGGCAGATGATGAGGAAGACATTCTAAGGAACAAGCTTGGATGAGTTCAGGAGTCTGCTTTGCCCTCATGGGTGTGGCCATGCTTAAGGACAGAGGAGGCATGATTAATGCAGTGGCATTCACTTTTGCCCTGGTGGTTATCTGAGCAGAGAGAATATCTCATGAACTAATGCCAAGGCCACTTCTCTGTTGTCTTTGGATTAATGCCAGCCCTGTTAGGGACAATCCAGTGAATTAAAAAAGCCCTGCCAACCCCAGGCGAGGGTTGGGAAACAGTGTTAGTAGCACCTGCGGGACTGGGGATGACTCATGTACAGGTATCATTAACCCCCATTCATTCACTTGTTAATGGAGAAATAAGAGCAGGAATGCAGAGGGACAGTTTTAGACTCAAGTCCATCTCTGACTCTAACTGGCTGAGTGATCTTAAGCAGCATCTAACTATTTTGAGCCCCCATTTCTTTACCATTTTTATAAAATGGTAATAGTAACACTTACCTTGGAGGCTGGTTTTAAGAGTTAAATATGATCATATACATTAAGCGTATGTATAGTAACTGGTACAGCTTAGAGATTAATGCATGCTAATTCCCTTTCTTCTCTTCTACAAACATTTAGAGGAGCTACTGACTACAAGGCATTATGCCAGGCAGGGAGGAAAGGAAGGTGAATCCATTGTGCATAGATTATGTCCTCTGGGAGCCTGTAGCCCCGTAATGGAGGAGATAAAGTCAATGGTAAGTGCACAAATAGTTACAACACAAGACAGAGAGCGTGAGGTGCCACGAGAGAGGTGGAACCGAGATTGCAACGAGAAGGCCATGTCTATGCCCTACGTGTCTGTGTGTGAACTGATCTTCTTCATGGTTGCCAGTGCCCCTTACTGGATTAAAGCATGTGTTCTATTTTGCTTGTTACAACATTTTGGTGTCTTTAACTTGGATGTTAAAAGAAAAAATAACAGAAAGGACTTTTTGCTTCTATGAGGAAGGGGCAGTCTATCAAAATTACCAACACCATCCCTGACCTACGGGTGAGGACACACCTGGCCCCCCCCATCTTTCCTGGAGAGCCAAAGCCTCTTCGGGGCCCCTTGGTTCCAGGTGCAGCAGAACCTGGCTCTTTGGATCAGCGACATTAATCTGCTTTGTTTTATCTGCAGTGTCACAAAGTTTAGTTGGATGATCTGATAGAAAGTACAAACCAGCCGGGTGCGGTGGCTCACACTTGTACTCCTAGCACTTTGGGAGGCCGAGGTGGGTGGATTGCCTGAGCTCAGGAGTTTGAGACCAATCTGAGCAACATGGTGAAACCCCGTCTCTACTAAAATACAAAAGAAACTAGCCGGGCATGACGGCATGCACCTGTAGTCCCAGCTACTCAGGAGGCTGAGGCGGGAGAATTACTTGAACCCAGGAGGGAGAATTACTTGAACAGAGCAAGACTCCGTCTTTGAAAAAAAGAAAGTACAAACCACAGCCTGACTCTGAGAATAACTGGGAGGAATCCCCTGCTGTCACACACTGGGAATCAGAGTGGCACATCCTGCCCTTGCAGCGTCCTGAGGCTCTAAAAGCAACATGTTCCAACTGGAAGCATATATTCTGCAAGGGTTTGTCTCCAGGCAGCGCTACAGCCTCCTCTTCTGGCACCTTAGAGACTGTTGCT